GCTTTTTAAAGATTTTTTACGTATAGCCAATTGCATGTGGTCCCATCCCGTCCCTAGGACCATGATTTATATAAACATTAATCTGTACCACGTGAGAATATTTGCATATTAATATTGGCTAATCATGATTCTGCTGCTCTAGAGAAAAAAGATATTTACAAATATTTTCCTATATATTTCTATGTAAAATTCCTATTGTGGCCCCACCATACCATTAGGATTTGTAAAATCTTAAATGAAAACTTTCATAAAGCTTTCACATAAATTTCATACATGTATATGAAGGCCAAGTGGTTCTTGAGAAATTTTTTTATAACCCCTCTCTGTATTTGCATTTTCTTAATAATCTTTGTTGGAACTTGGAGCAGCCCTTCATTTGAAAAAAAAAATCTTGAATTCCCCACATCTTAGTATAATTTGTATTTAGTTAGTTGAAATTTGCCCATTGGAAGTGTAAATTGCGACGACGAAGCTGGTAGACAAAGAAGAATTTTTTTATCAAAAAAGTTCACTTTAACCTTTGGCTCAGATATTTAAATCTGAAAATTTTCTTGTATTTTTTTTCTGGAGCTTGAAAGGGTTTGATTTTAATAACACTGAATGAAAAACAATGTTCTCTTGCCTAACCTTATTAAGATAGTAACTAAACATTATAATTGGTAAGTTGTACTTTAATTAAGATAATCAATTTAAATGATCTATCGGTGTATTGATTGTGTACTTAGTGCATTGATTTAAAGTCTCCTGTAACACATACTTAATTTTAACAATGATAGAGGTCCATTTGTACCTCAAATGTCTTTCCCATGGAGTTTTTGGTGTAGCTATCTTTTTTTGTTACATCATTTATTTATTTGCATGTGGCAATGTGTTTTTAACTAAAAATATTACATTTACAATACTCGTTTTAGACTTATCGATTTATGTAAAATTTGAGTAAAATTTATTGGTGAATGTTAACGTTTAAGGTTTTTTTTTAATACTGAAGTAAATCTTTTGAATTCTTAAAAATGGTTGGAGACACGAGAAAACAGACAAGGAGCAAATTACTTTTGAGCCTCTCTTGACGTTAAAAGAGATATGCTAAAATATCAAAATGGAATTGTTGAATAAGATAATGTAAAGTAAAAAAGAAAGGTCAATCAATTTACTGCAATGACGCAGGTGAAGCGAAGAAATGCTATTTATTAAATCAATTAAAAGCCCTCTATACCCTGCACACTAAAGAGTTCTGATTTTGTGGTATTTTTAAGCAGATAATGTGATCCGCCCTTTGATCAAGAATAAAATAAATTGAAATGTACAGTTTATTACTTAATTTGTGATCAAATCAAGCATTCATAACACTTTAATAGGCCAAGAGGAATAGATAGAAAACTTCATTTGCAGGTATTTTGTCCACTTAAGTAAACAACAGTTATTTCTGTTCATCAGTACTTCATTGTCTTTGAACAATTTTCCTGTTGGTAAATGCAAGGCCCCTATGTTGAAAATGTCATAGATAAGCCCAATATCTACACCTTTACACACTATAATTTTCTCAATGTCCAAAAAATATTTTCCTCTAGTGTATAGAGGGTCCTTTAGAAATTGTAAACTTCCTATGATGTTCAAAATTCTACCTTTCTGACCATCCTTATTAATCTATAAAACTTTTCGTCACGTTAACTTCCATTATTGTGAATCTTTGAATGAAAAATGAAAAGTACTTTATTATTAGCTTCAATAAATGAGGGGTTGGAAATTCCATATCACTTAGATATTCCCATGGTATTCAAGATAACAGTGTTCGAGATACATGTACCAAAGTTTAACTGTACATTAATTAGTCACAAATATTTTGCAGTTAAGGCATTGAAGGTATTGATTGTAAGATGACACACTCATTACTTTAAAATTAAATAAATAATTCTCTGCAGCAATCATTATCTTTGACAGGTTCATGTTTTGTGCTACACAGTTCATCTGCTGCCTAAGAACCTGTTACACCTGTACTTAAACCAGGAGAGTTGGATGTCTGTAGGAAGAGTCTTCAAGATGTAAGTGAAATAAAAATATTCATGTGAACAAGACAATATTTTTCATCTGAATATGAAATTAAATCACATTTTATTTGAAACAAAAAATATATTGCAGTGTTATTATTTGCACTTCCCTAGACTGATAATAATCAATTGATCTTGAAGTCTCTTGAGGAGGCTGGGGGGTCAACAAATTAACCATTAGATATAACTTATTTTTTATATATGATATCTTAAGCTGTCAACTATCATTTGGCAAAGAAAAAAAATCATTCATTTTAGTTTTAAAATTTCATCATTTTTGTATATCTTTATATGGAGCTCTTCTTCTAAAGGAGATCAATATAGTCTAAAAATGGCCACGACCACCCAGCCCTCTTAATTCTCAGTTATTTGTTTCTCCGTCAGGTTTTCCATGAAGATTTATTTGGACAAGTTGCAGAAGACAAGGAGGTGGCTGGCGTTACAAGTAAACTGTTTGAGGCCAGGTCTATGAAGAGTTACGACTCATACCAAATACTGGCTCAGGTCATCAGTAAAGAATCCCTCATGGCATTCATCACACCACTCAAAGAGGTGAGGCATTGTTACAGTCATATTTTAGATTTGCAGAAATTTAAAATGCACTTTAATTGCATTTTTAAACCCACTGCATTTTCTCTGAAAGCAATTTGATATTGATGAAGAGTTGCCAGGTTTCTAATTAAAGAAAACTTCTGTAATTTCTAGAGTATATAGGAAAAATCCTCTCAACAGCAAAGTCAGGATTAGATTCAGATTTATTCAAATGAAGACCACCGATGGTAGGGTGGGGCCACAATTCAAATTTTTTTTTCAAATGATGACCCCTAGGGGTAGGATGGGGTAATAATGGGGGATTGAATTTTTACATAGGAGTAATATAGGAAAAAATCTTTAAAAATCTTCTTCTCAAGAACAGCAAAGCTATGTTTAGTCATATTGATAATGTAGCATCATCAGGTAGTGTAGAATCAAATTTGTTCATAATGACCCCCCCTACAATGGGGTGTCAAAATTTTGAACAGGAATATATAGGAAGAAATCTTAAAAAATCTTCTGCTCAAAATCAGCAGAGCCGTGATTAGTGATATTATTATGGAAGCATCCTCAGGTAGTGTAAAACTGAACTGATTTGTGCTTTTTCCTAGCCAATGTGCGCAGGTGAGTGATGTGGTCCATGCCTTAATTTATGATATCATTGTTTAACAATATTTTTTATACTTCTGGTAACAGTTATTCAAAAGTTTGAACAAATGAATGAATGATTTCCAGAAGTCATACTTTTATTGATATATCAGTAAATCAATAAAATCAGAAATATTTTAATATGATAGGAAAATAACAGTACATGTAAAATAATTGTAATTGAAAACATGGCATTGATCTGATAATAAGCATTCATAAATGTATACCCTAAATTTGTTAATTTTACTGTCTAGATTTTTAGCAATTTTGTGCATGCACTGCATTTGCAAAAAGTTTTTTTTTTTGTAAAAAGAAAACAGACAAGAAATAAACGTCAATTACATTTAGCAAATCTAATTAAACTTACACTTGAATGTAAAACTCACATTTTCATAATTAATGTTTTAATCATTCATTGTTAAAAAAGAAATTTGGATCTAAATTAAACTGAAATATTTTTATATTTTGGTTAAATTTTTTTATTTAAAGGTTTGTTTACATGATTCAATCCTTCACTTCTTATGTATATGTACATACCATTAAGAATTCGTAAATGATAACATTAGTGAGATTTTTAATTGCCAAACGCCTGACCTTATCACCCCTCTAATTTACTATCATTGACCCTCTGCAGCATAAAATTACCTTGGCAGCTACTGTTTTATCTAGTATAATTGAATTATGAGTGAAGCAATGTGAAATTTCCCATCACACGTGCACTGACTAAAATAACACAATTTATCTGAATATATGTGTAAACAATTGAGCATGAGTGACAAAGAAAATAAAATTTTACATTGAATTTATTGTAAATGATTATAATTTTTTACCAACTTTGAATTTCTTTTCTCCATCATGAAAAAAAATGTCACAATTGGGAAAAAATGGTGAATTGCACATCAAACACTGCATATGTTATATATGCACAATTAAGTAAGTTTAAAAGGAAACCAAAATTTACTTGTTTTTGGAGATACAATTGGAGATAAATTTATGGGTAACCCATGTTTGCAGGAGGCTTGGTGAACAAATGTTAATAAAGTAATACTTTATGGATAAGTAAACCATGAGATCCACAAACATAATGATCCCTTATGAACAGTGCTGATTGCAAAGTTTTTGTTGACCACGGACTTGCAGTTGGATTAATCATCTTCTGCTTCAATGTTTATATTATTTCTGAATTTTGTATAAGATTGAATGAATTAAAGGAAGAGAACAACCTTAACATTGTATTCCCCAGTATTTTCCAAAATTCCTAGTTTAGAGAAAATTTGTAGTATTTACCGGTCTGGAAATACCTGTATCTACATGTGCCTATAGTAACAGCCACCACTGGTATTTCGATCCTGTCCAACCCTGTCGGACTTTGAGGTTTATTAATCATCTCATTTTATTTAGCTGCATGAACACATTTATCTTTTATTCCATATACTTAATTCGTTTCATTCTATGGTTATCAGCAACATACAGTATGTCATTGCTGACTGTACTGAGACCACGTAGGTTGTGTAAATCACAGTTGTCTATGTACAGAAGGAATTGTCCATTCTGGTCAATGATGTGTATGATGTCATTACCAATGTCAGCAATCAGGATGTGACACATGCTGTCTGTAGTAATACCACATGGAGTAAAGTTTTTGTATTTCATCCGTTATAGTTGAACCTGAATTGTCCTTCATTGTTCAATACTAATACTAAATTTGATCACTCAATACAATATCATGGTTCTTGTTTTCATCAACATCAGGCTTATATAATAATATAAAACTCAAGGCACGTAAATGTATTTCTTGTGTGACTGTAGAGCCAGAATACGTACAACTTTTCTATGCTGGATAAATTTTATTGTATCAGGAAATGACATAAGTAGTAAGAGGTCATCTGTATAAGTGCTGCAGATAGCATCTAACACCCAGTCTTGTACTTTGAGCACACATTTTATCTTATTCTCCTCCACTTTGTTAATTACTCTCCCTCCCTTTTCAATATACACTAGATGTCCCTCTCTGGTAAATGTCAAAGCCTTTGATTCAATATTCTCTGCAGTAGTGGTGATCTTCCTCAGCACCTCCCCCTCTTTGCTTATAAGTTTAATGATTCCATTGACACCACTGACATAGAAGTGATCTGTGTGAGGAATACAAGCTACCTGATAAATGTCTACATCAGTATTTATTTCTCCTACTGTAAGTGGCAAATCAAGACATTTCTTAACAGCTTTTTCTGAACTGGATTTGGATTGGGGAGCTTTTAGGACCTGTCCTTGAATGCAAATTTTCTTTGTTTCTGGAATGTCTCCAATTATATAACACAGTGCTTGCTCTGTTAGTTTTCTGAGACTGAATTCTGGCACTTTTAGTTCAAATCTGGAATGAATAGTTCTGAACTTTTCATTTTTTGAAGTGTAGTTGAAAAGTTTAGATGGATCATTTGAAGCAAGGATAGATTTGTTTTCATCCATTGCTGATTGAATTAATAAGTAGTGTTTCTGGAAATCTGCTCCTAGGTTCTTAATTGAGTTAGCATCATCTCTTTCCATTTTTCTTGCATCCCTCTGATATTTATTAATAACATTGTCTACTAGCTTGTGCCATATTTCACCAAATTCATCAATGGCTCTTTGTCTTTCCTCATGTTTCTGTTCAATGCTTGATAACATCTCTTTCATTTCAGAGAGTATTGATTCATAAACAGGAGCGATACTAGTTTTAAGTTCACTTAAGTCTTTTATGATTATCTCCTGTTTAGAGCTATAAATTTCAGAAATATGTGGTACATTGTGATTTTCATGGGATCCAGAGGCTAGACATTTCTGACATATCGGGGATTCACATTGTTCACAGAACATTTCACATTGTTTTTCACCATGGACTTTGCATTGTGGTGGAATGATTTCAGATTTTTTGAATTCGAAAGTAACGACATCATGTCTAATGGTGGGATTGAAGATCATATGGTGACCTACACAGTCCTTACAGAGATTGACTTGACAAGTGTTACACACAGTTTCTGCAGCAGATTTTCTGTCTTTTCCGGGGCAAAGCTGACAGCGTTTTATGTCTTGTGCCCTGTTATCGGGATCTGATGATGTTGCCATGTTGCTCTAGTAAAGGAATTTTTGGTACCTGTGCCAACAACAAAAATATACACCTTGATCATTTTGCCTTACTAAATAAAATAAACAAGAAAGCACAGGAAAGAAAATTACATAGGTATAATTTACTTATGACTTGAGTAATTTGTCCTACCTGTTAAAGTTTGTCTTTCAAAAACATGGCGGCCTGTTTTTACATTTAGATAATCAATGATCAAAGTGTGCGCTGACTATGCACTTCCTATGAATTTAAATATCTACTGTGATATTTATAAGGACTTTGACACTGGGTTGGCATGATAACCTAGTTTATTTGTAAAGAAGCAGATGTGAAATAAAATTTCCTTATCACTGTGATTTTGATACAGTTGTGTATGCATGTACATGTTTAACTCAGCAAATTGATAAAATTAATAAAACATATAAAATATATACATTTGGAGTAATTCTTCAGATTTTATATTTTATATAAAATTGTACACTTTGAAACTTGTGATAGATTACCTATTTATGCATATTAAACAGGTATTTGAAAACACTTTTTAAAGGAAAATTCATTATCTTTTGCTGGTCTTACTTTCTGAAAAAAAAATGTTTTTTTTTTGTAAATTTTAAAAATAAAATAGTATTTTTAAGTTGTACCTTTCATACCATAGCATGAGATCTTAATTTACATAAAATTTATAATTTCCATTAGTAAATATTAACGTGTTAAATTAACATGTATTTAATTCTGTAGCATGTTCTTTAAAAAATAGAGAACATGAGAAGATAGGTAAAAAAAAAAAAAAAAACAAGGTGGAAGTCTCCCTTTGACCCTAAAAGTTAAGAGTTCAATAGTACTGTCTCCATTGAGGTTGTCAGCGTGGGTGCGTATCATTACCGCTACATTTTCAAAATTGTCATTACTGCTACTTACTCATAACCGCACAAAAAAGGTTACATTGCCGCTACATTTGAAAGTATACATTACCGCTACTTTGCCTCTGCCGTTAGACATGGGTTGTCCGGTGATCCTGTCTTCTCTTTCATTAGGATTTCCTGTACCTTTTTTGCTATAGTGTGGCTGTGTGTAGAATCAAGAACCTGCAAGAAACAAAGAGTTTTTCACAGATTCCTTAATCGAGTGCAACATATGTTAACATTGTATAATGTACATGCCTGACACTCAAATAACAAGGACATTGCAAAGAAAGAGATCCACCCCCACCCCCAATAGGAAGAATTATTTTTTTTAAAAAATATTTGAATTATATGCATTCCTCTTGAATTTCATAATTATGATGAACTCCTTTGAATAGGATGGTCATAAAATGACATTACTTGTTAAACGTATAACCGACTTTTTCTTCAAGTTTCTTAAACGTGATTATCAGGGGAAAATTTCTTTCAGAATCATAAAAAGGATCTCCATGAGAGATTTTGAAATTTTTAAATCTTTCAAACATCTTAATGTGTCCTTAACTTGTCTTCTGCAGTTTGAACAATATCAAACAACCAATGCCTGGATCAATACAGGATATTTATTGACCAATCACACTTAATATACGTTTTGTGTTGTAAAAAAAAAAAAAAAAAACCAGTTATGCTAAAGAGATTTCAATATTACCACTACATTGCAAAAACTTTCACCTCATTACCGCTACATTTGTCGAAATTTCGGGTGATTATTACCGCTACATTTTATCAATAAGTCTATTGCCGATTACAACTCATTACCGCTACATGTCGAATCAGCCAGCAATGACACGAAATATAAGTTCTATTCATCATACTTCATTTAAGAGATTTCACGAAAGCAGTATGTCAAGCAAATGGTCTTCAAAGCTCTACCAATTATGTAAAGACTTTGTGTTTTATCCATGAACGATGCTCTTGGTTTTTAACACTTTCCAAAATGTTTTATTAAATGAAATAGATTTTAAGTAAAAATTGAAAACAAAAACAAAAGCATTCTGCTCAAAGACTTACTTTCACCTCTCCGTGGTGAGCAGGGGAAACAGGTCTTATGGATGTACATGTAGTTTAAATCAATTTGTACATGCATAAGCCGCTGGCTAAATACAGAGTCTCTGATGATATTTACCCATGGATTAATTACTCAGTCATTTTAACAAGTATCTGACAAAAAGAGGTAGATTAAATTACTGTATACAGGGATATTTTTACTCTCATTTTATTTTTGCCCCCTTATGCTTCTATCACAAATAGTCAAATGTAAAACAGGGCAAATTCAAAGAGCACTTACATGTAGTTATTTCTAAAACGCAATTGTGTATGGTCAAATTTAAAACAGGGCAAAACCGTTCTCAAGTGTGAAAAGAAACGACAAAAATAACAGTGTGAAAATAAAAGTAATTTATTCAAAGGTGGTTTTTACATACGTTGTTTATACATTGAATGTGAGAAATGTTGATCAGATTTTACAAAATAAAACATTGTTTTGCATGGTGAGGTTGTAAAGTTTGGAGAAATGTTTTCAGTAAGCAGAAGAAAACTGAAGAAAAGAAGACACAGTTCTTTAGACCTCCAAGCTGTCTCCTGGTACCAGAGGAACCCAAGCTTGGAGGTGACAAACCCAAACTGAGTAAAAAGACGAACATTCATGTATTGGTGGAGTTTGGTCTCCAGCTTCTGTGTATGTGTTGGAAGAGGGTCCGCCTGGTGGCGACAAAGGAGATCCACTGTAAATTAGTCGACCCTTTTATCACCATCAAAGTGGATTGTCTGCATTCTAAGCATATCAGGATAAGTCTGTATAGAACAATGTGAGATGACCTAAATTTATAGACAATTATTGAAAGGAATTGACTGATTGACCCTCATGAAATAACGTCAATGTAACCCAATTGTTTAAAAACATCAATATATTTTCAGATTAACACCTTAAGTCTGAGATGTTTGTGTTGTAACTGAAATTCAAATTACCATCTCTGGATGATAACATCAGGAAAGTGGCCAATGGAATGTTTGTTATCCTGAAAAATTATGCATCAGCAGGTGCTTCTAAGGGAGAGAACTTAGACTTAATTTCTATGGCATTTAAGGTAAAATTGTGCATCTTATTACAACTCTTACTTTTGATTTCTTATATATTTTCAATATAGTATAAATGGAAAGATAAACAAATATATCCACCCCACTATTTTTTTTCTAAATCGTACATGCATTTATGTAGGTTGTGACGGTATTAGTAAGAGATGTGAAGATTTATCAACTGAATCAAACACAACTCCAAGTTCTGTTGACTTTCTGTGAGGAAGACTTGTATGATAACAACAGACAGAGCACTGCATTCTCTCTTCTGAAGGTGATTTTTCTCTATCACATTGATTTTGCTCTCCTATTACTTTGAAATATTTAGTGTAAATCTAAAAATAAACCTTTTCGCAAAATTTATAGGCTATATTGTGTCTGAAGTTGAATATTCCAGACATGTTGGAGTTGATAAAGAAGGTGGAGGGTATGTCCATCACAGCTGACTCCTCCCATGTCAGGAGAGAATGTAGACAGGTAACAAGGGCGAGAAAGTTATATTTTAACTCCTTTGAAAATAAGATTTTTTTGAAAAGCGTGTAGCTAATTTCTTCTTGTTGCCCTATATATTTCCCCTACATTTTTGATACTTTACAAAAATACGTTATTATATCTTTAATTTTTGCTTTGATACAGATAGCCCTGCAGTACATCCTGAAAAAATATCCGCTGGGAAAGCTCCTTGATAAACACACGTCACACAATTGTCTTACGAGATGGAGATGGGACGAGAATCTGCTTTGGAAATGTTGGTCACTATATTTTCCTCATTTCCTCAGGTATATGTATCAGTAAAACTTGTCTTATCGGGACACAACTGGTTCCAAAGAAATCGGATTGATTAGATAACATTCTGGATTAGACAACATTTTTAACATTTGAATTGAATTGAAAGGGACTTAAAGTTTAGTGTAAGGCAAAATCTCGGAAAACACAACATCCAGATTAGTCAAGTGTCTCTGTACATTTATTTAGAAAGAGCAGTTTAATTCAAGTACCTATTTATGTTTTAAGAGTGATTGCTGTAAAAAAGACACATTTGTTATAAAGATGCATTATATTCCAGAACATCTTGAATGATCATACAGGAATGTTTGTCATACCCATGTCAGCAGCTCTTGTTAATGATGAATCCACAAAGTGTAGAAAACTCACAGCACTGGCCATCAAATCTCTTTTGCAAAAGGTATTGAAACACTCATGTGTATTAAAATAATAGAAAAAGAGATCTTTCTTTCAGGCATTTTATGGCAAATCAATTCATCATATTTATTAGTGTTAAAAGTTACAAAAGTTAAAATAAAATGTATGATGTAATGAAATATACTTTTATTGAGATCCACATATTTTGCTCTTTTAAATCATTGCATTTTGTTGTTATTTACATTTTTGTTTTGTTTATATTTACATTTAAGATTGATCATAATTCGACAAAGGAACACTTTAACATCACACAGAGATGGTTTTTACCGATGACAAGGTATTTGTATGAGAAATAATGTATCATTTTTAAACACCCACAGGACGAAAGACCATCTTTAAGCAATCGCTTACTGGTGGCTTAATGGTAGCTTAATGGTGGCTTATAGAAGTTAATTCCTTTAAGCCACCATTAAGCCACCATTAAGCTGCAGCTTCTAGGTGCTTAATGTCCAAACTTCATTAAGCTACCATTAAGCCACCTTTAAGCTGCAGCTTAATGGTGACTTAATGTCCAAACTTAATTAAACCACCTTAACGCATCCAGTATCAAGTCTTTAATTAAACTAACTTGTTAAGTTTGAAGTTGTTTCAGTATCATTTCCACAAATACTTATTCAATTCATAATTTTTTTCTCGCTATTTCTAACATCTTTGTCAATGCGTATAAACTCGGGAACTGAGAACAGTTTCATCAAATAATTTAAAATTTTCGCTCCCTAAAATCAGTTTGTTTGAATACTTGTTTTAAAATTATTTTTATCCAT